GGGCATGCATTTATCATTTTTATATATTTCATTAATAAAAAAATATAAATGTTTATTTTATTATTTTTTTATATATACCCTACTGTGTGTTATTTTAATTATTTTTTTATTTTTTTTAATTTTTTAATTTTTTTAATTTTTTTAATTTTTAATTTTTCAAATTTTTTTAATTTTTTATTTTTTTAATTTTTAATTTTTTTTTAATTTTTAATATTTTTTTAATTTTTAACTTTTTTTAATTTTTTAATTTTTTTTTATAAATTTACTGTACCGAAATTGATTACACATGACTATAGTATACTACATATAACTGTAATATACCACAATCATGTATAGTTATATGTAATCATGTACTGTTTTTTTACCCCAAAATTAATCTATACCAACAACAAAATTTACAATTTTAATGTTGATATTATAAATCAACTAACACACAAAAAAAAATGAAAACACAATCACATCCATAAAATCTTCAAAACATGGACACGCATTACTATACATTAAAAAACACATAACACACATATAACTATATGTTACTACACGTGACTAGAGTTATCTACAATTATTTATAGTTATATAAGTGGCTTAAGTCTAGAGTACTGTAGCATGAATGGAACTTCACATTACACTTCTCTGCATCTTATTCTTTGCATCTCATAATGTTACACAAACCAAATCTTGTGACAAAAAATACAAGTTAAAGAAAACGAAGAACAAAATGGAACAAGCGATTTACATTACATGAAAAAATACAAAAAACAATGAAAGAATTTTTTTTGATAAATTTATTTTGGTGAACTATAGTCACAAGTAGTTGTTACTGCATATGACTAGATATGACTCTATATAGTCAACTATAGTCGCATGTAGTTATGTTCATTCTTGTTACTACATGTGACTATATATGACTACAGTACATGACTACATGTGACTATATATGTATATAAACCAAAAATTTCACAATTGAATCTATATAAGATTATGAATAAAACAACGTGGTTGAAAAAAAAAAAGACACCATTTAGTGGTTTGAAACAGAAAAGCAGAAACACAAACACGACAGAAGAATTGACTGAAAGTAAATCATGAGATATATATATATATATATATATATATATATATATATATATATATATATATATATATATAAATATATATTTATACTAATTAGGTTTTAGGCACAAAGCAGCATCTTTCACATACCGGCGGGATCAACTCAACGTCGCAACGACGGGCGGCGGGGGGCAGCTGGCAGCGAAAGGCGGTGGGGAGCAGCGGCGAAAGGCGGTGATGGGGCAGCAGCCAGCGGTGGAAGGTAGTGGGGAGGAGCAGATCTGGCGAGAGAGAAGAAGATGGAGAGAGAGAGAGAGAGAGAGAGAGAGAGAGAGAGAGAGAGAGAGAGAGAGAGAGAGAGAGAGAGAGAGAGAGAGAGAGAGAGAGAGAGAGAGAGAGAGAGAGAGAGAGAGAGAGAGAGAGAGAGAGAGAGAGAGAGAGAGAGAGAGAGAGAGAGAGGGGGGGAGATGTGTTGTTTGGTGGGTGTGAGACGGAAGATAGAGAAATTTAGGGAAATATGGTATTTATTGAATTGAAATTAAAAGGGTAAAACAGGTATTTCAATTTGTCTAAGGGGGTCTATCAAATTAAGATTAGAATTTGAGTTTTTGACTAGGAAAGAAAAATCAATAAAACCTATCCATATATATTTTCAAAATTAGGGGTTTATCCATCATTTCCCCATATAAAAATCTAATTTATAAAAAATACTATGCATTTTAGGATAAATAATCATAAAACTCACTTTAATGGATTGTCTTGTAACATGATTTGACCGTTATATTAATTTTTATTTTACTAAATACAAAAGGTACTAATTATTTTAAACAAATTTAAACCCGTAAAAATATATAGAAAACTCGCAATTAAGTTACAAATAAAAAAAAATGTGATTATGCTAGAGATAGATCACCTATATTTTTTTTAGAACGATAAATCACCTATCTTAATTGTGATAGGATGTGCTAGAAGAGCAAATGAGTCACTGGCACATGAGCTAGACGATCCTGAGATTACCTGCAATCAGAATACACGTAAACTAAGCCGGGTTGATCCGGGTGAAACACCTCCAATACTCAAATCAGGCGTACAAATGATAGATGTTGTTGATAAAATATGAGCAGTTGAATTGCTAGAATAATAAAATGTACATTTAACAAAATGAATTAAATCGATATATATATATATATATATATACGGCTCGCTTTTATCCTGTTATCTCGACCACTGC